GAAATCACGACGTTTTTATAACAAATGTTACGCTAAATGCAAGATTTTATTGCGAATAAATTTTCTCTCAGTGGTGTGCATTTAACATAAACGATGTATAAAAATATGCTGTAGAAATGTAATAAATAGCTACTCTTTTGAAGCAGCAGCTGTTCTAACATTCATATTGATAAGGTCATGGCCCAGGGCATTCTGAATTACCTCTACTTACGTCACGAAATATACGGCGTAAATTGGAACGACATAATTCTAGTTATTATTATTAGTAGAACAAACAGAATAGCTCAAAACCCCAACGCCAAAACACGACACTGTAGTTGTCCGAAGCACTTTTCGGTAACAAAGTTACCTTCTTCAGGGACTGAAGTAAACTGACAACTACAGTGTCGTGTTTTGGCGTTGGGGTTTTGAGCTATTCTGTTTGTTCTACAACAACCGCCAAAGTTTTTCCAATCTTCATATTATTATTAGTGTTTTTAAATGTTTGCAAGAATTCACAAATTTTTAAACACCATGGTGAACGATCTAGCTAACGTATTTTTTTCAAGTTTCTTAATGGAAGGTATATGTAGAAGTTATAAGTATTAATTATTTTATATGGACTTTATATTGTGAGCGGGTTCATTCAAAAGTAAATTTCTTTATTCTTCGGATACCACAGCACTTACTTATCATTACCAACGCTCTGATTAAGATAAAGGATTTTGCCGGGTAAGATGGAAAAAAGTGCCCGTATCCCTTTCGGTAATCGACTGTAACCACGCTGTAGGTAATAATAGAATAGGTAATAATAATAATAATAGCTTTTTGCCAATTTTTTAGATTTCTAATTGGTCAAGTGATCACGGTCATATTTTCCGTTATGTGAGCATATCTCAGTCGTCTTTGAAGATTTTTTGAAAAATAAAAAACGAAATCAAAGGTAATAGAAGCAGGCATTTTTTCAAAATTTTTGACGGTAGTCAAAAAATACGTTTTTAATTTTTTGTTCTACATTCCACCTATTTTATAAATCTGAAAAAATTCAAGGCAATTTATAAGGTCAAGATACAAAACATTTTTTTGTGGTTGAGTAGGTCTTAATTCTTTTTTTTTATAGCCTTTTAAAATCTTCGAACGATTGTAAAAATTAAAGTTTGATGCCAAAAGTTAGCAGCTTGGTAACAATCGATTTCCGAAAGACGTAAGGGCACTTTTTACCACCTTACCCAGCACGGCCCATTCGTATTTTTATAATTTCTTGGAGAAACTTTTAATGTAATTTGCTCATAATTTTCTCGGGCCTTTCGGAGAATGTAAAAAGTATAACGGTTGGTCCAAACCGCGTGTGTTCTGCATTGTCGCCAACCACTAGGCAACGACGGGGTCCGTTAAATATATGCGACCCGTATACCAGTCTTAATTCAAATTAGACTTAATAACTAGTCTAAAGTACTAAGTGTGAAATATCGCGCCATTCCCTTGCCTAAGCGTCGCCGTTCTTGTCGAAAAGCTCTAAGTTTAAGAGCGTGCGGTCTCCCTCCCTTCCGGTGCGGCGGAGGAGATGGGATGGAAAACTCCCTACGGCGTAAAAGGATCAAGAAGCCGTTTTATTATCATTATTCAAAGACGCTGTAGCATCTCTATTTAGAGCGGGCGCAAATGGCTTTTATAAGTCTTCAAATCTGTACCAACCGCACCAACGAGAAAACGTTGCGTATATGTAGAACGTAGTCAAGTAGGGCTTGAAAACAGCAAGAAGTTAATGGGGTGAAATTCGGAAGAGTAATTGGTAATTAGTTGGCTTTACGTCTGAATAATGAAGTATTACATTCGAAAACTATACAACCATATCATTCACGTATCTATTATATACTAGTGGCGAACTAAGAACCTAGGGATGTTCTATTATAGTAGATCTCGGGTATAACGACGACGAAAAGACTACTGTAATTTCGTCGTTATATCAGGAAGTTCTTACAGTCAAAGGTAAAGATACAGACACGTATGTACAGTTTTCACCATTTTTCAATTTTAAAACGATTTCCACCTTTTTTTAACAGTAAATGTGCATCTAGGAGTTCTAGTTATTCGAAACGTAGTTGGTACTGAGAATATCACTTTGTAACCGAACCATTTTAAGTACACGCTTACCTCCCTATCTACCTGACTAACATCTACAATAACAAACGGTAAAGGTCACCACCAAAAGATAAAAAAGCTCTTTGTGTCTTTGGCGGTCGACTCCGATCGATATATCTGCAAGGGATTGGTAGAGATTTGTTACAAATGATTCATTAAAAACAGTCGCTACACCCGAACTCGGCGTTACATCCGAAGTCGCTATAGCCATATGAATTTTGTACTAAAGTATGCTTTAAATTCGAGAGACTTAGATTAAATGCCCCTATAGGAAAATGGTCGCTATAACCAAGGTCGTAATACATGAAATTCACTGTATATCCAGTTATCAAAGGGCAGCAACATCTTTTAAAACGTATGACTTGTGGTATAGACAAATTTGTACAAAAATCTTCAGCAATCTTGTAAATAATTCTAACTGATGTTATAAATACGCGTGTACGTTTGTTTGTTTGTTTGCTACCATTTCACGCCTTAACTACTCAACTGATCATCATGAAATTTTGTATATACATTGCCAGGAGTACTCACTTATCGAGGAAAAAGAAACTGTCCCCAAGGAATAGAAAAATGACATGCGGTCGTTGATGATCTTCGAAACGTCATCAACGAGAGTGAAGCCGCCAGTAAAACCCATCATGAAATTTTGTACATCCATTATCAGGGGTTCAGAAAATAATATAGAATACCTTTTGTCCAGAAAAA